TCAATAAAAATGTTAACGACTGTACAGTGAATTAATATAACATGTAAATTTGTAGCCATCGTCCTGGTATTATAAGACCAAATTATTAATCAATATTAAATATATTTTGAGAACGTAGTAAATTTAGGAAATGTATAAAAATTAAGGCATTTGACTATTTATAAGACTTCCATTCGCTGTGGTATGTGCTGTAAGTTATCTTGATTTTTAGGCGACTTCCTAACACATGTCGTTAGTGTTGTCTGCAAATATTTTTGTAGTTTTTATAATAAACCAAATCGTAATGTATATAAAATCTACGATTATTAAATTGTAATGTTATAATTTAATAATTATTAGACGCTGTATCGTTTAACATCTACTGGCGATTTGTTAATAATAATTTGAATATATTATGAACTATTGTAAATATGTCTATAAAAAGAAATAAAACATTTATATCGATTGAGCGCTTTCATTATAATAAAAAAATACACTGTATGTATGCAAAAAGATATGAATAAAGATTATTAAATCCAGAAGTGATAAAATAAAACACTATATATCTAGTATTCCAAATCAACAACCCCTTGATTTTAATTTGACTATAGAATTAAAGAGAAGACGTTTAAGGGTTTTTAAAGGAAAGGGACGAAAAAAAACCATTACTAATGAAATTGTTCTTTTGAATTTTAAAAATGAAATTTTTAAACTTCAACGTACGTAATGAATTAAAGTAATAAATAGAAAAAGAACTACATAATTTAAAATAGCATTATTAGCAAATTTAGGCATATAAAAAAAATAGAAAGTATATTTAGATTTTGAATAGAAAACCACAATATGCTCCTGAATTTTGTTAAAATAATTTAATCCTAACAGTAAATAAATGTCTTTAAATCATTTACTTTTTCAATTTTTATTTGACCACAAATTTTAAGAAAAGATCATTTTACTTTGATTTTTATTAATGTATTGTATATGTAATTTAATCTCTTTCGTTTTCTTTCACTTATTTGAAATATTGGGGAGGTTGTATTAGCATTATATTATTTTCCTATTTCGTATTTACATAGGTCAATGATCTTTCCATTTTAATTAAAGAAAACCCACGTGCGTTGTATAGTACTATAAGAATAAATTAGAATGAATGCGTAACTATTTCATTCATTGTAAAATTCATGATGGCGGTGTCTTACACGAAGGCCGAAAATCCCTTGTTTTGGTGGCGACGGTTCGGTTGTTTGTTGTCATGTACTTGTCATTACTATAACCCCTAATTTTAATTTTTGTTTATTTTTCATTTTAAAATTGATTTTATTGCAAAATATCTCAAAATGCGATGTAAAATGAATGCAGCCATAAAAATTGAACTGTCTTTTATGATTCAACAACAATAAGAATGCATATAATATTATCAAAATATCTACAATCATGGATTAAAAAATCTCAGTCTCAATTTCTTATAAGATTTTGCGTTGAAATTGTTTTTATTTATACTAGTTCTTTCCCCATATCACTGTAAGCTTGAAATTGTTAGCACCATTGCTTCGAGTGGTCGAAATTCACTTTTGTGAACAATTTGTTTAATCAATTGCTTTGTGTTAAAAATTGTTTGAAAAAGTTTTTATTCTAATTGTTTGTATTCATGCGCTTTAAAGCAGTGATATCAGTAACAGCAATTTTTAGAGAACAAGAGTTGGATTTTGCCCTGTGGTGAAAGCACTCATAATTTTTTATATGTATATAATTAAAAAAAGATTTTAGCTGTACGTATATTCATATTGTCAATAGTCGGCCATTTTTATTGCTCCACTATGACGTAGTGTCGGCCATCATTCTTTTCTAATTGTTGCCGTTGTCGGCCATCATTGTTTTCTAATTGTTGCTGTTGTCGGCCATTATGGTTTTTTAATAGATGTATAGTAATCAATGATTAAAATTTAAAGGAATTGTTTGTAACACATACTAACTTTTATTTATGTAATACTGCTTTGCCCTGTGCTGACAGCACTCATAATTTCTTTTATATATAATTTTNTTCCTAAAAAATCCAAAACAAGAACAATGGACTTTTCTGACTTGATCAAAAAAGAAACTAAGAATAAATCAAATGAAAATAACAACGATAATTTGTCTTCACTATTTTCCAATTGTCATTATAACAAAGAAGCAGGTTTAATAAAGAGTAATTGTTCTAAATTACATCAAACGCTTTCTGAAACTTTTAAAGGCATAACAGATTCATGTAGCAAGATCGAAACTACCCATACGTACCCAGATTAAATCCTTTTATAATTAACTGATTATTTCAATGAAAATTCTAATTGTAAACGTATTTTCATTATGAATTTATAATATGTACTTGTCATGAAATAAATCATTTGTTAATGTCAATTCTAGTTAGATGATTTTCGAATTTAAATTTTTGTTATAATCATCGTAGTTTAGAATAGTATTTTCTAAAATATTTATTGTGACAAACACCAGGATGTTGGCTGATAAGATAATTAATCGTTTAAATGTTTAAAGAATCGAAACAAGCAATGAACTTCTTTTTCGGCCTTTTGGGGTTTTCTCAAACACGTAAAGATAAGTCGATGAAGAAAAAGTACAACGAAAAGTCTAATAAAAAGAACACACTTAATGAAGGGTCAACAAAAGTGCCTGAAATTAAAGGCAAATTTTTAAAAATGAAATCTGCTTGTAGTAAAAACAATAAAAGAAATAATATGACAACAACTAGATGTGATGAAAGGAATCAACAGGAAATTAATATGAAAAATTGCCATAAAAAGTTAACTTCTGTAGTAAAACTGGAAGAAACTAATTGCAAACACCACAACAATCCTCCTAATCTTAAAAAATTTGATTCAGATTCTGGATTAAATACAATATACTTTTCAGAGTTTAAAAATGGCCAAATTGACCTTCATAAACATAGACTGAAATCTAGAACAAAAATCAAGAATAAAAATAAGATTCACAGTTCATCGGGTAAGAAATGGAAGAAATCTAATCCAAACTTAAAATCATATTTTATCGACCAAAATTCTCAGTATTTTGAATATAAATGTAAAACGAAGAAAATGCCTTCATTCAAAAAACGTTCTTTCAAAGACAAGAATTTGGATTATATTTCTACAAATACAAATAATACGATATATACAAAAACCGAGAAAGACAAACTTATTTCTGAAACTAGTTTAAAAAAGATTAAAAGTAAAACACTACAGAAAACAAAACGGAAAAATAAAAACGGGTGTTTTCATAAAATAAAACTAGACAGCAATAAAACTGACGAAAAAGTTAAAATTGATATATACCCTGAGGAAGGCGGAGACTATAATTTTCAATTTGAGGATTCAAATCATTTAAATTCAAATTGTCCCCAAAATCAAAAACGTAAAATACCAAATAAGAAACGTATCATTAATCGAAATGAAAATAGCCCTGTGGTAAATTTAAAACGAATTCAACGATACTCCTTTGATAACGTAGAAAATACAACGAAAGTCAACGTTGAATGTCAGTATCCCGAAATTCTCCAAACGAATTTCGAAATAAGAAAGTTAAACAACAAAACGGAAAGGGACTATAATGAATACAGGGCAAAACGCACATTACGAAAACAAAGGAGGAAGACAAAAAAGAAAATTGATGAAAATGTTGATTATTGTGATACAAATAAAATTAATAATTGTCCACCATCATTCTTTCGAAATCACTCGGAACAGAATATGAGAACTTGGAAACAAATAAACAATTTGGATTCAAGCAGTTCCTGTTCTTCATTGGAAAATATTATTAAGTTTCAGAAGGAAATTACAAACAATGAAAAATGGACCCATGATTATTTACAAACAATCAAAAGTAAAACAGATACAGACTCTATTATCCAAAATTCAAATGGAGATAACAGATCACAAAAAGACTATTTAAATTACGCCGAAAATAATGCTAAAATAAGTCATTATCAAAATTTGGAATTTGAGTCTTTTGAAAAGAAAATGATTTCTAGTGAACTTGAGCAGATAGGCATCGACATTGAAAAGAATAGTCAAGTAGCAAATAGTACTATAGACTACACAAAATCAAATGGTCTTATTAAACTCACAAAAATTGAAGAAGAAAATCAGTCTGACTACAATAGTGAAGATTATATGACCATTTCTTCCGCAAGTAATGTTGAAGCAAGTAACAATGGAAAAGGCTTTAATAATAATTCAAAAACGAAAAAAGATCTAGCAAATTACAATAACAAATCTTACCTTGTTGAGTATTTATTTGTGTCACCGAAAGTTTCCATGGAAGTTGGAGGAAATCTGGAAAATGAGAAATCCAATGAATATGATAATTTTCAATATCAAGATAGTGAACTTATGATAAACATATCGTCTACATCGTCAGAGTTTGCAAATAAAGACAAAAATGTTAATAACAGTTACAAAAGTGAACTGCAGAATACATTAGCACCTTCTGAGCATAAATTAGACATTAATATCAAAACAAAAGCATTAGAAGTCAATTCAGATTCATGTATTAGTAGTAGATTTCCTAAAAAATCCAAAACAAGAACAATGGACTTTTCTGACTTGATCAAAAAAGAAACTAAGAATAAATCAAATGAAAATAACAACGATAATTTGTCTTCACTATTTTCCAATTGTCATTATAACAAAGAAGCAGGTTTAATAAAGAGTAATTGTTCTAAATTACATCAAACGCTTTCTGAAACTTTTAAAGGCATAACAGATTCATGTAGCAAGATCGAAACTACCCAAGAAAAAAACGGTAATAATAAAGTTACCACATTTGATGACAATAACGTAAAAGAACTTCTCTCTGAAGCAGTATTAAGAAAATCATCTCAATTTCAATCGGAAACCGAAACAGAATTTAGTCAATCATCGGGAAGACATTGTAGTAGGGATAGTTTTCAAAAGAAAGAAAGAAACTTCGCTCCGATTTTTAAGAGTAAAAATATCTACGTTTATATCTATTCAAACGATTGCAAAAAATTTTTTAAAAACGAAGAAAAATCATCAACCGAAGACGAACAAAGTCTCGATCGAAATTCGTCTATTAACAAAACAGCAAAAGACAATAAATTAGAAAATAAAGAAAATATAATTTCCCAAATTTTACGTCAGATAAAGTGTTCAGTTAATATGAACAACATTAAAAAAAGTTTTTCAAGCGAAGTAAATCTTAAAGCGAAAACAAAAAATATAGAACACTTTAAACGAAAACAGTCAAGCACGGATAACATTAAAGTTGTAGAATATTTATTTACCCCTAAATGTAAACCGAACTCGAGCAAATCAACATCTTCAGTATCTTCAAGAAAAGGAAATAGGCAAAATAGAAATGTCATCGCTGTGATGTCTAGAAGCAGCCAAGAATGTGAATCACTTTCAAGTAAAAATGTTCCAATAATAATTAAAGAAGATAAAAACAGAAAGTGGAATGCCATTTGGGATAACGTAAATAAAACATTTTTAGAAGATTCAAAATTTGAATTGGCTTTTCGAACCAATAAAAGTAAAGAAAACTATTTACGAAATAAAGCAAATATTTATAGCAATATAGAAAGACGTAAAGGAAAAAGAGTTGCCAGTTATAATTTTCACAATGAAGATCAGATAAGATGTAAATCTAAGGCTGTACAAGCAGGTGGTCGAGGTGTTACTATTATTAAACGAAGAAATCAGTTGATAAATGCAGAAAATTTAGAAAACCATGTATCTGATCATGTTTGTCTTTGTTCATCTAAAATAAACAAATATTACGATTTTTTGAACAATTGGTTCTTATCTAGATATGCCTAAAAATAAAAATATTAGAATATCTCATAAACAAATTGTGACAATTTTACATATACTTCTTTTCGTTTTCATAGTAAATTATCTATTATTAACAATCCGGAAAAATCATCGACGATCACATAAAACTAATTTTTTCTATCCCTCGGGAACAATATGTTTTTTCTGGATAAAAGGTACTCTATGTCCTTCTCCGTACCTCTGGCAATATGTATACGAAATTTCATGATGATTGGTTGAGTAGTTAAAGCGTGAAATGGTAGCAAACAAACAAAATTACATTCTTATTTATAATATTAGTCAGGATTAGCAATTTAAAACTTAATAAAGTAGGCCTTATGATCATTGTCATGCATGGAAGTGTCAGCGTCTATTAATGACAGGATTGTTAAAAATTTCAGTGATAGGTGATTAGTGTTGTGTTTTAAGATGAAAACTTAAAAGTTGTAGATGAGGGAAAATGTCAAATCTTTTGTGAAAGATTATTAAAACGTTTTATACGCAGAGGAAAAATAATTATAAAATATATATGCTCAAGAATTTAGCTTTATTTAATACGTACATTGCGAAATGTTTATTTTGAAAGATATTTTTAAAATTGGTTCTAGTTCAAGAAGTAATAATGCCTCTCATACGGAAAATTTGCATGCGCGAAAACAGGGTAAAAAAGGCAGTGTTTTAGATAAAGATGAATTTATACTTGAAGAAAGTAAAGATAAAAGAATACACGGATGGTTGAGTCGTGATTCAAAGAATAAAAAAAGAAATTTTAATGATGATTGCGTAAAAAATAAGGCCTATGTAAGTACTGAAAACAAGAAAAGTCAGCATCAAGACTCTAAAAAGAAGCAATATGAAGATTTTAGACATATAAAGCGTGATTATTTCAAAGAAGGCTCAGTAAATTTTCGTAAGATGGAATTTGAAGATTTAGAAGGGTTTTATTGTAATCACGAAGGAAATATCGATTCTGTCGAAAATAATGTACAAATTAAGTTTCATAAGGCAGGAGTAAGAAGGGGCAAACTTTACGAAAATAATTGTATTCATACCAGAAAGGAACTTTTAAAAGAAAAGTTTTATGACAATAATGAAGAAACTTCCGAAACATCGAACGAAGATTCTTCTGTCGACGAAGAAGAATTAACACCAACACCAGAAAGTGTTGAAGATGAAACTGAAACGGATTCTGATAAATCGTTTTCAAATTTTTCAGATTATTCTTCTACTGCTGTTATAGTATACCCAGGCAAAATCTCTGAAGGTAAAAGCAATAGTCCGAACAAAATAATCCATAAGAAGAAAATTCCTCAGTCAGCACATGAAAAAAAATTGAATGATAAGAAACATATGTCTGAGTCATCGGGATACAAACGAAAATATGTTGTTTACCATGCAGAGGAAGAAAATCAAGTACATTGCGTTTGTCCCCCAAAACGTATGAGAAACTTGAAATTTAGTAGCCACAACATTAAGCATAAACGTAAATATAGCGATTCCAATCATCGTCGACATAACCAGAGCACAGTTCGGACTTCTTCAACGGATCCATTTCGATACACTCGGGGAAACCCAAAAATTCCAGCAAACAGAAGAGTGGTAGTAATTAAACAACCCACTTCTCTTACTAGACCAAAACGGTACGTTGATAAGGATTATACAAAACATAAAAGATCCGACTACCTTCTCATTCCTTCTGGGAAAAGGAAATTCCAAAGATCGAGATTCACAGCAAGCGGTTCGAGAACGGAAAAAAATCGAAATCCAAACGACCAAACATCATCCTCGTCTGATATTAGCAGTGAAAACGGTGCATGTGTAAATAAATACAATAATTGCACAGATAACTTTTTGAAAGAAGATGTTAGAAAGAGGCGTTCTAAAAATGATTTTCTTGTAGAACATATAAAGCAAAACAAAACTGAGAGGCAGGGCAACAGAGAAAATCTGAGTAGTCTCCGATCAAAACATCCACAAAATATGAACGATATATTAGATGAAACGCAAAATCATCAAGGCAATCCCCAAAGAAAAATAGAAGACATCATACTAGAACATCAAAGAACAATCAAAGAAAATAATAAATTGCCACATAAAGTACGTAGCACAGCACACACAAAGTCTCCTAAAAGTGTAAATTTTGCTGAACAGTCAAATAAAAAATACGAGACATTTGAGAACAGAAACGAATCTCAGGACAGACGTGTGGAGAAAAGATATACGAAGAAAAAAAGGCACGATCGAGACCACAAGAAATGTTTAGAATGTCAGCAAGATATTTTCGTTGAGAAAGGAATAGGTGAACCAAATCACAACAAAAAGGTAACTGATCCCAATGAAGAAAAGAAAATCTTGCAAAAAATTATAGACATTAATAAAGACGTACGATTCAATGAAGAAGTAACAAACTTTATGAAAATGAAAAATACAGGGAAGGAAGCAACTACAGCGAAAGGATTAAAAGAACTCGATCGTGGCGAATTTCAAGAAAAGAAAGAACAATCTGCATCAATTCCCACAACAGCTAACAAAGACAATTATGACAATAATCGTAAGTTAGACAAAAGCAAATTAATTACCAGAATTAATCGGCTAAAGAAACCCATGACTGATACGATACAATCTAGTACAGGGCCACAGTTAATAGATGTTGCAGTCGAAAATGGAAAACCAGGAGGTCGTGCAAGGACTAAATGTGATGAACTCAACAATACCAACAACGAAATTTCCAAAAAGAAAAAATTGAAACAAAATAACGATACTCTTTTGGATAATATGACAAGCGATTTTACAACCACTGAAAAGTCAAGTATGAAGAAGTCTGAGAAACACAATTCTACTGATACCCGCCGAAAGGAACCGTTATCTTACTCCACTAATGTCGCAGCAACGTATGTGCTATTAAATACAAAAGGAAGTACTAAAAATAGATCATTCAATAAGCAAGATGAGTCTTCCTGGGAGTTATCAGATACGAAGAGAGATCGCAATTTACAGCTGTTCAAGTTGCTCGAAGAAATGCTTGGTAGACGGAAAGCGAAGCGTTCAAAATCAAAAAACATCCATACCGTTTCTGCAGTGTCTCTAACGGTCACTAAAAAGGAAAGAACAATTTACAAGGACCTGCATAAAAACATTTTAAAGCGCTACCGAGCAAGCACCTCAACAAGTGGTATGACATTTTCAAAAACTAACAAACCGATTAGTAAAAATTCGGGGACAAAAAAGAATAAAACTCGCATTGATGTTTCCACTAATAATAATAAGAGGCGTAAGAAAATTACGAAACCGAAGTTGGAAATATCTACTCTTCCTGGCATTGAAATTTCTCCGTCAACAATGAGAGTAATGCAATACGAAATTAATGAAAAAAATACAGCTTTGGATAACAATTGCCATCTAAAAATTGATGATACAGAAAATCAAAAAAGTACAACTGAAAATGAGCAAAAGCAAATAATAAGAAAAAGACCTGCAGGAAAGTTCAGAACCTCCAGAAAAATTGGTAATAATAATCAGAAATCTGAGTCCGCAGGAGACTTTTCTCTGGAAATTAAAGAATCACATACAGGATCTTCAAGTGTCCAAATTCTACCTAAATCCCAATCATGTACTGACACTCAAGTAAATGATGAAGAGAAACCGTCATCTACCGGTAATATTTCAAAGGAGAAAAAGCTTTCAGCTAATTCTTCTCTACTTGTTTTAAACTTGAGCGATTCGAAAGATGATATTGAAAGTAAGGAATGGATTAGTAATAAGCTTAAATCATCTAAAAGTTCAGGAGAAAACATGATGAAAACTGGACAAACAGTAAATGAGTACAAAACATTTCAAAGAAAACTGTTTAGTACTACAGCAGCTACAAATAGAAATCCTTTACTGTATCCGTCAACATTTAAAATAGAAGTAAAGGACATCTTTCGCCCAGCAACTGTAATCCAATCGGATGTAACTGAATCAAAAGCTGCAGCCCCTACTACTCCTAGTGGCGACACTCTTCTGCTTACATTTACCGATTCAGAAATTTGGGGCAATAACTTTAAAGAAGAAAAGAACTTAACAGAAGAAGAACAACGAGAAGAACGTTCAGATAGCACCGAAATGATTGAAAAACTGGAAAACTCCTTACAAAAGAGCATTGTTCAAGACCTGAAAAACTGCTCAAGACATTCGGAAAGGAGTCTATGTTCATCTCCCGATTCAACTTTAAATACTTCAGAAACACAGCGTTGTATAGAGGAATGGGAAAACCTTGTCAAACGGAAAGTACTACAACAGCTTCGAAGAAAAGTGTCTACATACTGTAAACATGAGAGTAGCACTACAGTTTCGCCAATTTTGAATCAATACTCAATCTACGCAGAAAATTTTGTCGATAATGAGAAGATACAAGACAAAAACGAAATTACCGATGCAGACTATGATGCAAAGAGAAACATTCCTGCAGATGTTATTGGCAAGAGATCTGAATTAGAAAATAAAAACCAAAAGAGCAAGAAAAGAAGTAATTTAAGCATGTCTCCTTTAGAAACCGTATTTGAAGCGGAAGAACAACCCACCGAAGTAATAGAAGTTGAACTATTAAAAGAATCGAGCAGTTTCACTCAAATGCGCATATTTAAAAATGTGGAAAACGACGCAGACGAATGTGACTCAAATTTAAAAGATTTTGAAGATAAAATTTCGAAATTGAGAAACCTAAATGATTTGGAAAATATGGAAGATGAAATAAACAATTTCCTTGGAAACTGCTCCTTAAATTTACAGATAAGTATTGATGACAATGAAGAACCTTTAGATGTCAATTCCAAAAATAAAGCTTCGAATGAAGGAGACGATTTAAGTGAAAAATTAATGAATATCTATAGTTTCAACATGTCCAAAAATAATAACAAAGGTCAAGCAGAAGAAACAGTAAAAAATCCTACCACTATTCAATGTGAATCAATTACTTCAACGGAAGTTCTTGCTGAACCAAAACCTCTGAAAGAGGAAAATGCGAACGAAAATTGTAAATTAGAAAAAGTAGAAATAAGCGAATGTCAGAGTAACTCAGGTGTTCCCGAAGATACAGGAAAATACACCGAAAATAGAACTAAGACAAAAGGCAATAAAAAAATTTTCTCTAGATTACCAGTTTACGTCAAAAAAGTAAAAGATTTCAAGGGTAGTCTGTTTTCAAATCCTCACCAAATCCAAAAATCTCCTGAACCCTCGAAAGTAACCTCAATTCATCCAATTTCGAAAGAGGTGGAAAACAAAAACGTAGAAAAATCTACACAAGATGAAGGTACGACCTGCAATCTAGTACTAGCCAAAAAAGTGGATAACACAATCAATACTGAAGTACAAGAAAAGAAAGATCAAACTACGAATTACGGAACTAAAATAATTAATAAGCAAAACAAATCGGTTTCTTGCGATTTTCAGGAAAACACAAAACGCCACCATGGTCTATTGCCTAACAAAAGTAAAGTAAAAAATGTAATTTCTAACTGTTTAAAAAAATATCGCTTAACTAACTTTAACAAGGAACCTAACGTTGCTGAAAACAAAAGTGAAAAACAAAACAAAACATCAATTTGCTCAGACAGTTCACAGTTTACAACAAGTACAGAATCACTGTACTTTGGAGAAAATTCTGACATCGATACGTATCACTCTAAAACTGAAAAAGAATGTCAAACAACTTGTATACAAAGCTTTACCACTAATGCAACATATACAGATAAGAATCAAAAACGCAACCCTTTCCCAGACCAATCACGATCTTCAAATTGTAGCGATTTTACCAACAGTTCTAAAACTATTGAAAGTGATTTATGTGATTTGTCCACCACAACATATTCAACATTTTATGAAGTACATGATGGTGGTGGTATGTTACAATGTGAAGATGAAGATACGCCGAACAGATTAATTTCGGTGTTAGATGAAAAGATCAAAAAGTTGTCTAAACAAAAAAGTATTACGAAGTGTGATAATTCTACATGCACGGCTGCAAAAGAGTTTATGATGACACAAGAATTGTCCGACGATGTTTTATCGTCCTCTGGTCAATGCGATTTGAAAACACAAAACAGAAACGTAATAAAAGACGACCATATGCCTAAACATTACCGCGTAACTAGAAGTTCCTTTACTAAATTGAAACCCAAAATTACTTACAATCTGACAAAGGAAAGCAGTGCGTTCTGCAACTTACGACCAACTTTGAACACTAGGAAAATAACTTCTCAAAGATGTCGTTTAAGAAATAAAGTTGATAATAATAAATCTCAAATTACAGAAGAAATGGACTCAAAAAATCTTAGTAGTTTTCAGAAACGCAAACTATACTGGGAATCTCTAAAAAAATCAGAAAAGAAATGTACTTTTGCAATAAATACAAAGAAATCTAAGTATTTCCTTATGCTTTCTGGCAAGGACAAGAAAAAAGGATCCGGCAAGCGAAGGAGCACATCGTTTTTTGAAAAAGTTTTAAAACCTTCCGAACCTTCAATATTCTTTAAACCACTGTCAAAGCCGCTTAATCAACAAAAACAACATAATTATGAAACGAAAAGTAAGAATGATAAAACGAAATTGAATCGATCAATGTGTCCCAAAATCAATACAATTAATGTTACGCAACCTTCACATAATAATCCCAATAACTATCCTTCACAATATGATAATCCTTTTATCGGATGCAGTAGATACGTACGAGTCAGACACTCGTCCTCCCTAATTTCTATAGCAAATAAAGCACAAAAAGACCAACAAAAAAGACCCTCAAGTTCGGAAAGTAAAATCGACATTTGTAATGAGCGGCTTCCTACATTTTACTCTTATAATTTTTGTAACGAAGAATCTAACAATAATAAAAAGTTTAATTGTCATTCAAACGATTCGATAGTGGAAAATACCGACAGACAATTGCCATTCGTACAACAACACGTTGAAGATTTCAAACTTATGGAAAGGAAATCATCACCATTTATGGATACAGGTTCTCATACTAAAAACCGATTGCATCTTCATTCACACGATTACGATTTCGTTCAAAATTATGACATATCTGAAATCTGTAATGGAAACATGGATCACACTTTAGAAAAACAATTCGTGAACAAGGTGAAAAAAAGAGCAAAAGAACTTTTCAAAAATTTTATGGATGAACTGAATGCGGATTCTATTGCAGTCAACAAGGTAGAAAAAGGCAGCTATTGTGTTTGCGAAGACAAAAGACAAGAAGCTGTCGATTTGGAATCTCTCGCCGAAGAGATTTATGACGATTATGAAGACCCTAGTACAGAAAGAAGTTTCAGTCAAAAAACGAAAGATGAAGAAAGTAATACAGATAAAGAAAGTGAAACAACAGGAGGTACTTATTGCAATAGCAAAAGTAAAATTTCGACATTTACTATTAGCCACATGGAACAAATAGGTAAAAAACATAAAGAAGAACCTTACGAAATAATTTCAGCAAATACGTCTGGAGATACAAATGTAACCAGTTTCGATGAATACGAAAATGCATGCACGGAATTCTGCTGCGAATCTGTCCGCCGATTAAACGGCAAATTCGACAAATTTTCACGCAAACCTATAACACTAGCCAGAGCTGAAATTACAACTTATCCAAACTATATTTCCCAGTCTGCAAACGTAGACTTTGTTCAACGTTTTAATAACGATGGCGACATAATAAAAGAAAGTCAGAGCAATGAAAATCTATATTTAGACAATAAAATAAGTAAGAAGCAAGTTTCCGTCAGTAAAGATAACGATTGTCCTGGACAAACACTGGAAAGTTCTAACGAAAAAAAGTTTGACGTTGAATCATTCAATGGTGACCTTTATAATTCGGAAAGTGAAATTAACTTCATACCATCAGTAGATGAGACTATTGAAAGATCATCAAAATCTATCAACTCCAAAAAAATATTATCTACAATTGATTCAATATCTTGTGTCGATAATCAAAATTCATTCGAAAACAAAAAAAATACAATGTACAATTTAAAAACTGTTACAGAAAAAACAATAGCCCAAAAGTTTGGCGATACCCCTTCTATTATGGAGAATGCACGTGATTATGATAATGGCAAAGGAAAACCTAATGGTAGTACATTATCTGTGACTCCTAGTCCAAATCCCTTAAACCTATTTAAATCAATTAATCAAAGTAGTCGATTAAAACATTGTAAGAGTTACGATTCTTTTAATGGAGAAGTATTTAGACCACCGGGAGGTTCTTATTTTTCTTCTGACAGCGAAACAGTTAAGCAACATGTAATAGATGTAAGTGAAAATTGTTCGAGTAACTGCAGTGAATCCTTTGATGAAAGTAATGAAAACGGTTCCGAAACATCATCTACATCACAAACAAACGGTCCTTATCTCATTATTCAAGATTGTATTATCTCTGATGAAGATAAATTTTTGCAAGATTTTACAGAAACTAGCTCATTTGCTAGCGACAATTTTCTTACGAGAAAACAAAACGAAAGTGATTTAAAATCGGATTTTTCGAATTCGTCAACTACATTTTCTCATCACACTGTTCTTTATGATAATAATGCTTCCATAGATGCAGAAAGTAACTCTTCAGGAACAATTGTAGACAGAGAAACAATTGAAATAAACGACAATAATGTAACAAACAGTACCAGACATATCGCTAATAATCCGCGTTATTGTAATTTGTTAAATTCATTTGAGTTTGAAACAAATAACTTAAATGGAGAAGACAAAGATGACAATGCAGAAGTCAAGTTAGATCACAGCAGTAAAACATATTTTACAATAAAAAGCAGAAAGAACAGAAATATTAAGCAGTTACCGTCAAGTGAAAATCATGATTACTTTCCCAATTCCAGATCAGGCGATACGATGAATGCTACAAAAATTTATGAGAGTCCTGCTGACCCACATTTCAGTTCGATTCGAATTTATCATGAAAACATCGTCGCTGATACTAATAAGGAAAGACTGCTTCAAGGTGAATGTTCGACAGTTTATGGTAATCAAAACAATGAAAATTCAACTACCAGTTTAAATATTAACAAAGAAAATAATTGTAGCGATGAAACGGTTCTAGATGAATTTCCAATGACTTTGGCTAGTTACGAAAGTAACCCAAATCTTTGTTCAAGCCAGAATCAAAATCAAGGTTTTGGTATTAACACAAACAGTGGAACGTCGAAATTGACTCCAGAAGAAATGGACAGTGGATTTGAAAGTACTAAACACAAAACAAACGCCCAAAGATTGTTAATAAAAACAGTAAGCACATCTGACTTGCAAGATTTAAATGCTTCTGTCAATTCCATTCAAGAATCGCGTTCTTCTCACAGTATGTTTGAAAGTGTGTCTTCGTTTAGCCTTACGAAGAATTTTTTTCACAATGTTCGAAGAAAAAGTAGCAGAAAAAAGAATGACAGTTTGACTGCCTTATCGAGAGCAGTGCAATTACAAAGACGAAGCAGTGTTTATTTGAATCCGAGCTATCACTGGAAAGAATTTTGGAAAAATGTCCAACAAGTAAAGGACAATCCAAGCAAACAAACAATGAACGACGATATTTCGAAAGGAGACGTGGGAAAATGTGAAGAAACTTTGACTGAGGAAAAACATTTATTTTTCGATTCTCTAAAACACCTCAAGGATTTTCATTTCGAGAACACCTACTTAAGTTACAGTCTTTTTGGATTGGATAACTATCCAATGAACAAAGGTTCTAATACGAAATGTTTTCCGGTTGGAAATCGCAATTTTTTAACCTACAACGTGTTCGTTTATAATGGAAAAGAAAGATGTGATAAAGCAACTCAAACTAGACAAGACGTTTTCTTCATTCCATACGTTTCAGTGATAGCATTACCTGCTAATCCAACCAAATTAAGCCTTGCCCAACAAAAAAAATTCAGTCCAGGTACTTCAAAAAATAATTCTGAATTAGCTGGTTGTTTTTCTCGTTATGAGAACAGAAGACCTGTACATACGAGTTTAAACAAAACGCCCGAAATAAATGAAACAACTCATTCAGATTTAGAAGAAATCCGTCACGAAAAACGCCCTTGCAAAAAGAAAAGAACTAAAAAAACGGAAGAGAATGCTGACCTGTATGATACATTGTCTTTAGATGATTCTGGTTGTGGTACATTTTCTTCCGAGAAATCCTATAAAATACCAAAAAGGCTCAGCATAGAAACTTTTCAAGGATACGAAACATCTCCTCGCGTGAACTTGAAGGACAACTTAGCATCTATACAGGAACGTCGATCCTCGTTTCAATATACAGTCACTAATCCGGTGAAGACAGCTTCCAATATGAGTTTTGCAGATGAAAATTATAACGAACCTACTTTAGATACAAATAAGTCGCCTCGTTCTAATATAGAAGAACAATTATCCACGACTAACGATGAATATGAACCTTGTAAAGCTGCATGCACTTATCGAAGAATTCAAAATAGTAAAAGCAGAAATGTAAATGAACCAATTTCGTCTTCAACCACGGTAAACCGACATAATGTTGGCAAGCGAAAGTTACGAAAGAGAAGCAATAAAAATCAGGAGAAAAACGATTTGACTCGTGATGTATATTCATCTGATGACAATGAAGAAAATTTAAAATCAAACGATTATGAAGATCAGAAACCGCGCTGCAGTTTATCAACACAGAGAAATGTAAGGCAACAAGATAACATAAGATTACAACGACCTTTACTAAATTTTGTCAAAAATAATGACAGTGCAAGCAAATTAAGGCAAAATGACAAAAATAACGACAAGTTTGTAGAACCGAAAGGTGCAATTAACAGAACTCGAAATATTTCGGACATTAGTAGAATTCAACAACCTAAGATTAATATTGTTGCGAAAGATAACAAACAACAAATAACGAATACGTTAAATGAAGGAAAGCCTACAGTCCTCCAAAACAATGTAAATATAGATAAGGAACCACTGTTAGATGAAATTGCCGAAGGTCATCATGAGGAATCACATTTAAAAGAAATTAATAAAAAAGCTCCTGGTATTGATAAAGCTAATAATGAAATAGTAAAAGGTGGTGTCGAAATTGAAGATGAGCTGGGTCATGACATTCAAAACATAAATAAGGAACCATTGTCAAATGAAATTGGCGAAAGTCATCTTCATCAGCAATCAAATTTAAAAGTGATCAATGCAAAACCTCCCGGTATTGATAAAGCTAATAATGAAATAGTAAAAGGTGGTGTAGAAATTGAAGATGAGTTGGGTCGTGACATTCAAAACATAAATAAGGAACCATTGTCAAATGAAATTGGCGAAAGTCATCTTTATCAGCAATCAAATTTAAAAGTGATCAATAAAGAACCTCGCGGTACTCATAGAGCTAATACTGAAATAGTAAAAGGTGGTGTAGAAATTGAAGATGAGTTGGGTCGTGACATTCAAAACATAAATAACGAACCATTGTCAAATGAAATTGGCGAAAGTCATCTTCATCAGCAATCAAATTTAAAAGTGATCAATGAAGAACCTCCCGGTACTCATAAAGCTAATACTGAAATAGCAAAAGGTGGTGTAGAAATTGAAGATAAGTTGGGTCATGACATTCAAAACATAAATAAGGGACCATTGTCAAATGAAATTGGCGAAAGTCATCTTTATCAGCAATCAAATTTAAAAGTAATCAACGAAGAACCTCCCAGGTCGAAAAAGACAGCAACATTAACAAAAATATCTGACACAAAAGAAGCAATTCTCCAAAACGAAGTGCAACCTTGTAGCTGCATGAAGAAGATGATGGAAATTATCAATCCGCAGACATCAGATGAAATTAAAAAAATTCATAAATTTTATGAAATAGTAGGATGTTCGTGTGGTTCTAAGAAAGTTGTTAAAGAATTACCAGAAAGGAAGATAAAGGCTGAAGATGAATTTAGTCATGAAAATCAAAACACAAATACGGACACTGTTTTAGAAGAAGTTGCTGAAGGCCATCTTAATGCGCAGCCAAAGTCAGAAGTAATTGTGGATGAACCTGCCAAGCTAGGAAGAAGAGCAACACTGGCAAGAGTATTTGACACAGATGAACAAACGACCCAGGTAATTAATTATGACGAAACCCTCGACAAAAACAGTAAAAAAAAGGAAGCATCACATTGCTTAATTAGCGAAACGGAATTATTAAAACAACAAAATAATAAGGAACACCAATTAAGAAGCAGCTTGACGGATAAAGAAATATTCGAAAAACTTCTAGCAAGTTACGAAAAAGAGGACAAACTAATACGAGAATTGTCACGTGAGGACGATTTTCTCCAGTTTGAAAGTACTTTAGAAGATAGACACCAATCTGCCACGAAATTCGAAGAGCCGAAACACAATCATGTTGAAAAAGAAGAAAGTAAGAGCAAAATCTTTGATGAAACGAAAAAAAAGAACCGTATAAGAGAGAAACCGTTAGAACGAAGCAAAAAAGCAAATTATAACAGAAGCAGTACTGACGATATTGACCGAAAAGAATCTGGATCATTGAAGATGGAAGAATTTCAAATAATTGAAAGTAACGCGAATCGCAGACGAGCAAGATTTTTTGGGAAAAAGAAAACAGAAGCTAAGAAACAATTATCTGACAGAAGAAGCAGTAATTTCTTAACGGATGACAGATCAGAGAAAGAAAAAGAAGTCACTAAGGGCAAGAAGTCGAAAATAACCGATGGAATAAGTTTTTCGTCAAATGAAGACTCATTGAAAGTTAAAAAGGGAGATATAAAACCAATCACCGAAGAAGATATTATTAAATCAAAAGAACTAGGTAAATGCTTTCGCAGAGGTTTCAGACCTGATAGTACAACACTGTCTGGTGAACCGTGTTTAAGTCTTAGCCCAGAAGAAGAAGAAGCCAGATTAAACACCCTTGACGCAAAAAAGAATGGCTTAATAGAATTCTCTGAGAGGGGCAGTCCACTGGACTATTTACTCAGTTTAGGATTTAGTATAGATGAAGCCAGTAATGCCATTAAAGATGAAGATGTGAAGCATAGACTGTATGCTGCAATTACAGAGGTATTTACATATTTACTACCACGCAAAATTATACAATAATTGTCCGTTGTTTATAAATGTGGTGCATTTAAAAATGCAACCCTTTTTTGAAAGGAACCGGCTAGATCCTTACGGTAAATTGCCCTCTGTCTAACTTTTAAATCTTTGGATTCTGGTGGTTCTCGACGTATATATCAAAGGTCGCATATAGTCTCTTATATGGAAACAACAAGAGCTCGTGCCTAGTGTGAATTTTTCTCTAATTTTCCGAAAACATGGGTTTCTATTCTAAATATTGTGATTTAACGTTGCGAGATAAATATATGATTTTTAGTATGGTAACAGACAAAGGTTCACACCAACTCGGTACTTTTTTGGTTTTCAATAATTTGATCATTAAAAGCTTTTACAAGCGTTTATATTTGATGCTTCTTATAGGACACGTATTTTCATTGAAAAATTAAAAACTGGCCTTCGACAATGTTTAGAACAAAGCCTTATCTATCTTACTACAAAATTTCAAACCTCTGTTCCAAATATTAAACTCATAATATCTAGAACCGATAAGCATGTTTTTACTCTACGGCGCGTGTGCTACTGAATCGCTTCAAGGAACCATATCTCAAAAAGATGACCTTTTACGACTTAGTACCCATTGAGACTTTTGATCACATTGAGAACTACCAGAATTCAAAATTTTAAAGAGTTTGACAGAGGGCAATTTTCCATAAGGATCTAGCCGAGTCCTTTGGCCAATTGCAAGATTCATTAAAGATCAGAATTATTGATGTTCTTTTCAGATTTTGTTTATTTGTATCGAAATTTGGGTTTACCCAAAAGAATAATAAGAACACTAAAAATTGGTGTTTATTTAAAGTTTAGATTTCTTTTCTTAAATATGCTAATGACCTTGAAAAGAACAATTTAGTTGGCTTGCTTCTGTGTACTTAAAGTTTTTCAAAGATATGACCAGGAAGGCACCTTTCTGTAATATCTTAAGAAGTACCTAACTATCTTTTCCTTTTAGTTTTTCGAGCGCAATATTGTGGTAGTGTATTTTCAGTTACTAATGTACAGGGTGTTCCACCTAAGATGGTTTCGTCCATAACTCTGTTATTATACTTTGAATAAAAAAAAATGTTTTTATAAAAGTAGTCTGGAATCATATGGTGTATTAGGTGGAACGCCCTGTATATACAAAATACATTTTGTATCCTCTTATAGGCCAGAATTTGGGTAAATCACATTAATGCTAATCAAGGTACTCTATTATATTTGGCTGCATACAAAACAAAACCAAACACCATGAGATACTTTTTGCAATTAATAGAAGCGATCATCAATGGGCGAATTAACGATGCCGTCAAATTAGATGCCTTCATCAAGTTATTAGAAAGAGTAGAAGAAGGAGAAATATCAATTGTTAAAATCTTAGGATTCGATCACGTAAATTAATTATTATTTGTTAAATTTTAATTAAAACTAATGTAATCAAAAAAAATTCAGTTTGAGGATGAAGTAAACGAAGAAATAATTTTGAGAAAGCAGTTGCGACAGTTGTTTGTTACAATATTTAAAATAGCTGGAAAAGAAGCAAAACTGAAAGGAAAGGAATTAGATAAGGATACAATTGAACTCCTTCGCATCCTCGCTGCTAGATACAGGGCTGGTTTGCATCCCCATTTAGAATTAATCGCAAGATACATCGGGCAAGGACTTTTAGTTAACGAAATACAACTTGAAGGTACGATATTTAAACGAACTATTACGATGACTATTATTATTATTATTATGTAGCAACAATTGTGTAGTGAAACAGAAATCATGACTTTTTTTATTGATGTGTACCTAACATCTTTCCGCTTGGTATGCGCGTATATGCCAAATCATAGGAGTGATTTCGTGAACGTAGTGATTAAGAGGGAGAAGTTGGCTGAGGGAAAGAATGGAAAAACAAAGAAGGCATCCCGTAGGAAAAATTTCCATTCTATTTCCATTAAAAAAATGCCATTTAATTACCACTAATAATAATTAATGGTTATAAGTGGAGAACTGCCAATGGAATGAATAGAATTTCCACTAAAATTCTAGTGGAAATCCCATTCCCAAACTCAAGGGGATTTCCATTGCGTTCCATTAGAACTTCCATTCCTGAATCGAATCTTTATTTTTTACCTTAAATTACTGTTAGTGGTAATTAAATGACATTCTTTTTAATCAAGACGAAATATGAGGTTTTTCGACGGTAAAAATATGAATTACATGACAATTATTATTCCAAATAATGTCTTGTTTATTATTTGTACAATTTGCTTTGATAATCTCATTAACATCAGCACGTTTTTCTCCATTTTAATCATCTCAAACTAGATCTTCTTCATTTTTAGGTACCCAATTGTTTTTCCATTCATATTGAATAGTTTTAAATAGAATTTATAAAATTTGCATTGGTTCCCATTGAAAATCAATGGAAATTTTTCCTATGTAAATATTAATGGAATCATTGTAAATGGAAACAATTATTTTTCCATTTATGCCAAATGGTTTTGAATGGAATTTACAAATTTTCCATTGACTCTCATTGAATTTCAATGGAAATTTTTCCTACGGGATAGCTGTCAACCGTTCGACTTGGTAGCCTTCGTCAGCCCATGCAACTTACGTTGTGAAATCATTGTTTTGCTCGTTTCCGGTGTTATAGATGTTACATATCATAGCGACTACTTTATTATCTTTTGAAATCAGACCTTTTAAATGTCTTAATTAAGTAAAATAAATCAAGAGTTATAANGTTACGGTTAAAATAAACTCGAAGCCGGTAAAAACGGTATTAGTGCAGGTTTACTTGCCTACATTATCTTACAATGATGAAGATGTAGAAGCAGTTTATGCAAATATAGAGGACGTGTTAAGCTAAGTGAAAGGGCAGGAAAACCTAATAGTTGTAGGAGACTTCAACGCAGTAATAGGTGAAGGTAAAGTACGTGCAGTAGCAGGTTCTTTTGGATTAGGCAATAGAAATGATAGGGGAGATAGACTGATATTTTGTGATAAACATAACTTAACCGTCGCGAATACTTTACTCAACCATCACGTTAGGAGGTGCTATACGTGGGAGATGCCAGGTGATTTAGGGAGATATCAGTTAGATTACATACTTGTTAGGCAAAGATTTAAAAATCAAGTGAAGAACTGTAGGAGATATTCAGGAGCAGATATAGATAGCGATCATAACTTAGTAGTTATGAAGAACAATCTTAAATTGAAAATTCTGAAAAAGAGGGAAGGTAGGAGACGTCTTGACTTGACTTGCTAATATTTAACGGAACGCGTGATAGGCTATGTACAAAGACACACGAAATACTAAAGGCGGCGGGAAAAACGAATAACAGGGATATATAGACAGGATGGAATTGCATTAAGACGTACCTAAACTCATCAGCTACAGATATATTCGGTCTTAAAAAAAAAGAAAGACGGAAACCATGGATAACAAACGAGATAGTAGGGTTAATAGAAGAAAGCAGGAAATACGAAAACAGAAGAAAAGAAGGGTAAAAAAGATATGGCTATAAAGTGGGAAATAATTAGGAAGTGTACGGCAGCTAAGAAACAGTGGATTGATAGTTTGTGTAAAGAAGTAGAAGAAAAGTTTGAAGTAGGTAAAACCGATGAGGCTTATAATATAATTAAAAGAAATTTTAGAGATGTAGAGTACAGTAGTAATAATATAAGAAACCAGGCAGGGGTCATTTTGATAGAAAATGAGGAAAAGGCAAATAGGTGGAAAGAATAATTAGAGAACCTATACGCAGGCCATTGGTTAAAAGATATATTAGACAAGGAAGGTAGTGGGGAGACAGATGAACTAGGTTATCCCATAATGAGAGAACAATTCCATGTAGCATTAAAAAAACTTAAAGAATAATAAGGCGCCAGGTATTGATGGGATACAGGCGGAAATTCTAAAACATGCAGGGCAAGAGGTTAGAGATCGTATGTTTAAGCTAGTTAATCACCTTTAGGAGATGGGGAAAGTCCCACAGGATTATAAACGGAACGTGGTAGTAACCATACCTAAAAAGGCGCGGATAGGTGCGAGACATTTAGAACAATTAGCTTAACTTTCCATGCGTCAAAAATCTTAATTAGAATTATACAGAGGAGGATTGAAAAAAAGGCGGAAGAACTATTAGGGGAAGATAAATTTGGGTTTAGAAGAAATAGAGGAACGCGGGAGGCCATTCTAGCTTTACGTGTAACAATAGCGAAAACGATAGAAAAAAGAAAGAATGCGTACATAGGATTTGTAAATTTAGAAAAAGCTTTTGACAATGTTAAATGGGAGAAGATGTAAAATATAATTTAAAAATTTAGGGATGAATTTTAGAGATAGAAGAGTAATACTTAGTTTGTATAAAGAGCAACAGGCAGTTATAGAGCTGGGGCTGCAACGTAGAGTAGTAAATATTAGGAAGGGAGTCAGACATGGATGCACACTATCACCGCTACTTTTTAATCTGTACATCGAAGACGCGATCAACATCATTGAAGGCAGTAAAACTGTAATGAGAGAGAGGGGGGGTAGATATAACTTCTGAAAAATTCTGTTTACGTAATACTTGAACGCTGTCTAATCGAATTTATAAAGTTATTAAGTTTCCGTTCCTTCTTTCTCTCAAGATACTAACATAATAAAATTAGGGGTAAAAATACTTTATTATGACAATCAGTACCTAACGTTTCTTATTTATCGTATAACTTTTCTTTAGGATATTAACTTATACCATAAAGTCGAACGTAGGTGTTGGTTACCATAATAAACTGGTTTTATCCCCTATATTGACTCTGATTTTTATTATATATGTATTCATTGGACCTTAGACGAATATACTGCTCTAGGATTTCCAACTCCTTTAAGAATAGTCACGTTAAATTCTCTAGGAATGTCGTTAAGTCCTGGAATTTTATACATTCCCGGACCAGTAGTATAAACTTCTCCAGTTGGAGAATAAACCATTTCTTCCAACGTATGAAAACCGACACCTTGAACGAAAGCCCCTTCTATCTGACCAACATCTATAGCTGGGTTTAAGCTTTTTCCTGCACAAAATGTTGTTAATTTTCTTATTTTGCCAGTTGCTTATGTATATATTACCTATATCCATTACAATGTCAGCACGCAAAATTTGATGATCGCCAGTAAGACAATCTACTATTACTTCAGTGCAACAAACACCATTTGTAAAGTAGTTGAAAGCTCTACCGCTGTTTTCTTTCAAATTGTAACCAACATCAGGTACTTTGTAATAGCCAGTTGCAGAAAGACTGACCCGGTCAAAAAACGCGGCGGTAACCCAATCATTCCAAGTTCCATTTGGATTTTTTTCTTTAAACGGTTCCAAACGATTTTTAATCTTTTCACAAGCGTCCTAAACATGCATACATAAGAAATAACCAGTAATTTTTGAAAGAGCACAGTAATGAGTAGGTAATGGACGGGAAAGCAATTTCTTCAAACTATCCCGTCCATCTTCTACGTATTTAGTGCATTCAAAGTCAAATCGGTTCCTAACTTTTTCAGTTTTCATGATGGATTACATAGGTGACACTATGAATATTTCTCATTTATATTAGGAGTCAAAATAGTTTAGTAATATTGTCAGATATGTAATCATTTCTTCTAGGTAAGTTCTTTTTAATTAATAGACACTCCTTTTGACATATTATTTTGGAAAAAATCACTTTTTTTGATTAGTTATGTCTGTTACCGTTTGAAACACAAATTAATATGAAAACAATTAAAACAATTGCCTGTCAGAGTCAGAGCTACCAACCCGGTCGTCACTGAGGATTTTCCAACGAGCAGCGAAACATCTGACACAGCAAATCTGCATCAAACACAACAAAACGGCTCGGAAAATAACTGTTTTTTTTAACAATATCACGTAAGTTTTAATAAATAGAATAGATACCTATATAAATAGAAAGTGCCCAACGTAATGAAAATTGAAGATAAGAGAAAAAATGAAACTCAATACTACACTCATAAAAATTATGGCAAGAATCATTGGACTTATAAATACAAATGATCGTATCATACAGTAAAACACTGAGAGGGTTGAAAAATTTAGGAATCGATTTTACATGTAATGCCCCATCCATTACCAATACAGCAAGACCGTTGTAATCAGAGGTGACGCTAGCAGCTGTGGGCATTGTGTTGGGTACTTTGTCGGTCGAAGTTTCACTAATGAAAACGTTTGATATTGGTACTTCTAGTACCCTACTTGCGATCTGTATCATTTTCGTGTGTATGCCCTGTCCTGCCTCCATCCCTCCATGTGTTAAAAGGACGGAGCCGTCTGTATAAACATTTACCAATGCTGCTCCACAATTCATAAAAGCGTCTGTATATCCAATACCGTAAAGCAGAGGAACAACTGTGATACCACGTTTTTTCCACCTATTTTTCCTGCACATTTTATCACTTTGAAGTAGCTAATGTTAATGAAGGAAATAACATTGTTTACCTATTATATTCATCGATTTCTTTTTTCCTGTCAAAATAGCTCGACTTCGACAGACACTCATCAAAACATTTCTGCAACGTGCAAGAGTCTGTTTCGCTTCCATAACATGTAAGATCGTCTTCTTTGAAAAAGTTTTTCTGCATTATTTCTGTAACGTCTTTGTTGAGCGCGTCAGCTACTTCTCGAACGGCACATTCGGTAGCCAATGTCAACTGGGGGCTTCCGAACCCTCTGTATGCGATACATGTTTGCAAATTAGTTTTGCAACAAATTCCAGTGAATTTGACATTCTCGGTGTTATAAGCACTAAAGAATTGTAACAGTGCTCTTTCCAATACCTTTAAAGTATATTATAAATTTGCTTACTTGCAAGTACTTAAGTAAGTAAGTGACAAATTAATTAATACTGACAATAACATATTCATATTAATACAATAAAATTGGAAGTAGACAACTAAAAGTTTTTAGCCCTTTCGTTAAAATTTCTAAAGTCGAACTTCCTTTTTTTATTTTTATTGAAACACCTATTACATTTTTGTATCAATTTGACAATTGAGGAATAAAAGTTCACCTACCATGACGCTTAAGTCTGTAGATCGTCCAGCATTGACATAAACATTTAATTCTATGGCCGACATAAATCCACTTTCATCGAAAGCTACTTTGTATTTCATTAAAAATGGATTTCTGGTTCCTTTATACAAGATATCTTCGTCCCTGTCTAAACTGCATCTAACAGGTCGTTTAAGTTTTTGAGCTGCAAATGCTGCAGGAAGTGCAAGAGCCGTCGGTCTTGTCTCCTTTCCACCAAACGCTCCACCTACCCTTTTCACTTTGACTACGATACGATTTTGTGGAATCTCCAAAACGGTCGACAAAGCTCTCTTTAATGATGAAGGTTTTTATCAAAATAAATTGGGTAAACAAGTCATAGTTGACCTAGTTTTATATTCTTCTAAACTTACCGCAACACTTGTGGGATCTTGTGTTGTACAATAGACTTCAATTTCGTTATTTTCATTTTTTGGAAGAACATTAACAGCTGCTGGTTCCAAATAGAAATGTTCTTGTGCGCCACTTCTAACTTCTCCCTCAACAACATATTTGCTGATCTTAAAAGCTGCATCAACGTTTCCTCTTCCCATTTCTCGATACGAATCTGGTAGGTAAGATTCATATTTTATGGCATCTTCTATAGAAACTATAACGGGGTGAAGGTTTTCATAATCAACCTTTACCATCTTCGCTGCCCTTTGTGCAAGTAATTTATCGTCGGCAATTACAACCCCCAAAATCTGCCCTGGACTTTCGCAAGTTTCAGAAACAAATACTTCTTCATCATGAACAATAAATCCAAATATGTTACGTTCTTTTGGAATATCCTTTGCACAGTAAAATGCTTGTACCCCTTCCATTTCTAAAGCAGGTTTTGGGTCTATGGATTTTATCTTTGCATGTGCTTTAGTACTCCAAACGATGCCCATATACAACTGATTACTAAAATGAGGCAAATCGTCGCAGTAAACAGCTTCGCCTGTTGCTTGCTGAAAAGCAGTGAAATGTACCACAGGAGTACCGATGGTATCGTACTGGGATATTTTAGACGTCTCACGATAGTATTGCGAAGATTTTATGACAGTGGTATCAAAATCTTTAATTGCACTCAAATCGGTTTCATATATTGCATGGAAGTTAGAGTTATCCTGTTTGAGTTGAGACAGTATTTTTAAGAAAGCTTTAAAGAAAAGACTTAACGACAAGGATTGTCTGTAGAGCATCATTCCTCCTGGTGCCGATGGGGTTAGGGGTAAATCAGTTAAAAGTAAGTCTAAAGCTAAATCTAATATTTCCTCATTCCACGTTTTACCATTAAGAAATTCACTTGTGGTTTTGGCATACGTAGTTGTAGCAGCCATTCCACCTAAACAAATACGAATATCTTGAACTGTATTAGTTATAGGTGATATATGAGTATTGAGAGCTAAATTTACGATTGTTCTATCATCTTCTCGTCTACGGGATTGTTTGAAAGCACAGAAGAATTGATTTTCTTCAGTGTATGGTATCACTAAAGAAATTAACACTTCACTTCCGTTCAGTACATTTTCGCGATATGCTGTAAAAAAGTTCTCATCCAATTGGATTGTTCTGGAACCACCGGCTTGACTTCTAATTTCTAATTCAACTTTGGCCGCCATAAATATATGATTTAAATCAGAAGTCGGGCTTCCAGTCATTATGTTGCCACCAACTGATGCCATGTTGCGAATTTGTTTTCCACCAAACAACTTTAGCATATCAAGGATTGCTTCGAAAATACGCAATTTAGTTTCCGGTTGAGATTCTGTTTGTATTCGTAGAAAACTTTCTAGGTTTTGCAATGTGACGGAAGCTCCTACTTTTACCCCTTTATCCGTTAATTGGATTTCGGTCATTTCAGGAATGCAGCTGGGACTGATATGTATTGGGTAAAGTTGGTTTTTAAATTTTACTTCTACACGAACTTCTGTGTTTCCGACAATTATTTTGCTTTCGGGAAAACGTTGTTTTAGTTCCAAAAGGGATTCTAACGATATGGGTCTGAACCATGTAACACGAGGACCTCTAAACTCCAAACTTTGATCGTCAAAACCGTTAGAAATTTTTAATTCTGGAGGAAATATGGGCTCCTGCGTATGATCGTACGGTTTGCAGTCACTTACTTGAAACAATGCATATGTTTTATCTTCTTTTTCTTCGTTGTTCCTATTTTTACAACATTGTTTTCCCATGGGGCACCCGTTGAAATTCGTGTTACCTAAACCGTTCGTAATTTTTTCGCAGTCCGGATGTTCCACGAATGTTTTAAATCCTTCCATTATGGGTCTGTATCCTGTACAGCGACATAGGTTCCCTTGAAAGGCTGTTTTCAAGTCATCCATTGTCGGCTTGGGTTGATTCCTTAAGAGCGTATACATTGACATAACAAATCCTGGAGTGCAATATCCACATTGAGAACCATGAGCTTTCGCTATTCTTTCTTGGACGGAGTGAATTTTGGTCGTTGTAGAACCTATACCTTCGACGGTTGTAACCGCCAAACCATGCATTGCACATACTGGGGCTAAACATGCGTTTACTGGGATATGTCTGATGGGTTCAATAGGAAACAAATGTCGCTTTTAAAACTAATTGCATAAATGCTTTGGAGGTTTGAATAAAGTAATTGTAAGTAATATTGTTGCAGTTCATTTTACATATGAATTATTTATCAGTTGATAATTAATAGAAAGGAATTAAGTGATAATTTATGATGTGCCAATTAATATGGCTAAGTATAAACAAGTTTAAATATTTTATAAATAATTAATTATATAAATTGGGTTAATATTGATGTTTCAATACTGTTTTGTTTTGTGATTACACTTCTTGAATATTTCAGCATGAAATACAAACAACGACTAATTGTAGGGAAAGCCTAAAATCATTCACGACTTGTACATGCCAAAATAGGTACTGGTTTTCAAAGGATACACTATTTGATCCTTCTTTCTAAGATATTTAGATACCATAACAGTACATGCCCCACAACCACCTTCCCCGCATCCCATTTTAGTACCACAGAGACGTACTAAAGTAACATTAAGGAAAATGTACAAATCAGAGTTAATTTTCTGGCCTAACCAATTTTTAACAAATAATAAGATTTTAATTATGAAATGATGCATCATCTTCAAAATAACGTATAATACAATTATGTTGATTTATTTCATTCTTTGAATAATTTGTTCATTCTCTTAAGTTATCAAAAGTCGTTAAAAATAAAAAATTAAGGAAGTAATATTTCTTGTGATTAAACCTTTTTGTCTATAAATATATGCTATATCAGAATTGTTTTCAGTCTGTTGTTGTTTTTTAGTCCTTAAAGGATACATTTATCTCTAAGATAATAGAGTAGTGTCCATTCCGGATCAACATTTCGTTCTACGATCTGCAAAGTATTAGATAATCCATATGTATTTTACTAGTTTTAATAATGCATAATTTTAATAATTTCGAATAATTAATTAAAAATTTATTAAATAATTTTTGTACAGCGTTGTATTATTATTTACATATTTAAAAAATTTTCCACAAAAATAGCTCACCAATGACATAATACCAATTTGCTAAAATAATTGTAAGGATCAGCTAACTCATTTTATAATTTTTGAAGATATTTGATCAATTTAATACCTGAATGTAAAATTAATATATTATTTAACTCAATATGTAAATAAGTACGTAAATTTTATGAATTGTTATTATCTTTTTTCAAGCAAACACAACAACAAAAAACAAATATAAAACTAAAACTAACAGAATTATTTCTTTTAACGACTATTGTTACTCATATTTTTAATTAAATGAAGCCATCCACTTACTTTTTTTCCATTTACAAAGAACACGAGTGTTGAAAAACTTTCTGCCATGTTAACGTCAACGCTTTTCAGTACATTCTCAAGTAATAAACCGACTGACAATGGGTATTTAAGAAAATAAATATTGCATTTGTTGGACGAAGTACGTTAGATAAAGTACGCATATCAAAAAATTTAATTTATCTACAACCTACTTAAACAGATGCGTACTTCAGCAATTTATCATTCATATACAATTTTTAAAGGTAATTTTAATGTCGTAATTGTATATCAGTAAAGCATATGAATTAAAATAATTACTCCTTAATAGAAGAAGTGACCTAACTGAACTTTAAAGCATGCCATTCATCTGTTATATTTCTTATCAATAAAGTTAAAATGGTTATATAATAAAAANTAATTTATTACGATAAATCAAATTTTTACATTATTTTATCGAAATGCTTTTTATTAATAGCAGTTTAAAGTAAAATAAAAACTACAACATGTACCTATAATAATAAAAATCTAACAGGTTGTAAACGACTTTTATTCGTTTTTTAGCTGCCATGATTTACTTATCAAGATTGGACACAGCCGATGTGAATTTATCACAATTTGAAAAGTACTGTTCTATAACCTGTGGAAAGAACACTAACAAAACTAACTAAATTGAAGACTTAAAAAATAATTGTTACTGTTTTTAGTGACTATTTGTACTCTTTTATTATAGTTTTCATTCCTACTCTGTTCATATGTACAAATGTATATGATTTTGATTAGATATTAAAGTTTACCACGAGTATTTTGCTTTTAGTTAAGGAACGACGTTCCACGGTAAAGTACCGTTTAAAGCAGGATCTTTTATCTGTAAAAGAATTAATTTTTTAAGTAAATACGAGTGCATTTTTTCAAAAAAAGAATTACCTTCGAAGTAAACTGATCTTTGCATGCATTCCGTATTCTTTCTGCGGTTGCCGGTGAATTTAAGATAAATTTCGTTAAAGCGCCCACATCTTTTCTGGCAGCTTTTATTGCCTCCTTGATTGCAAAAAATACAGAAACTGACAGACAAAGTGGAGGCTCTCCTACCGCCTACAATAATAATACGGTTTTTAAATCGCTCTGACAGGGACATTCAAGGATTACGTAAACAGGCGCAGAGTTCGGAAAGATTCATTTTTTCTTATTTATGCTGACTGAGGAAAGGCGGAAATACAAAAGCAGGACAGACGAACAAGAGCAAAAAAGATATAAGGCTATATAGTGGGAAATAATTAGGAAGTGTAGGGCAGCTAAGGGACAGTGGATTGATAGGAGATATAAAAAAGTAGAAGAAAAGTTTGAGGTAGCTAAACCCGATGAGGCTTATAATATAATTAAAAGAAATTTTAGAGATGTAGAGTACAGTAGTAATAATATAAGAAACCAGGCAGGGGTCATTTTGATAGAAAATGAGGAAAAGGCAAATAGGTGGAAAGAATAATTAGAGAACCTATACGCAGGCCATTGGTTAAAAGATATATTAGACAAGGAAGGTAGTGGGGAGACAGATGAACTAGGTTATCCCATAATGAGAGAACAATTCCATGTAGCATTAAAAAAACTTAAAGAATAATAAGGCGCCAGGTATTGATGGGATACAGGCGGAAATTCTAAAACATGCAGGGCAAGAGGTTAGAGATCGTATGTTTAAGCTAGTTAATCACCTTTAGGAGATGGGGAAAGTCCCACAGGATTATAAACGGAACGTGGTAGTAACCATACCTAAAAAGGCGCGGATAGGTGCGAGACATTTAGAACAATTAGCTTAACTTTCCATGCGTCAAAAATCTTAATTAGAATTATACAGAGGAGGATTGAAAAAAAGGCGGAAGAACTATTAGGGGAAGATAAATTTGGGTTTAGAAGAAATAGAGGAACGCGGGAGGCCATTCTAGCTTTACGTGTAACAATAGCGAAAACGATAGAAAAAAGAAAGAATGCGTACATAGGATTTGTAAATTTAGAAAAAGCTTTTGACAATGTTAAATGGGAGAAGATGTAAAATATAATTTAAAAATTTAGGGATGAATTTTAGAGATAGAAGAGTAATACTTAGTTTGTATAAAGAGCAACAGGCAGTTATAGAGCTGGGGCTGCAACGTAGAGTAGTAAATATTAGGAAGGGAGTCAGACATGGATGCACACTATCACCGCTACTTTTTAATCTGTACATCGAAGACGCGATCAACATCATTGAAGGCAGTAAAACTGTAATGAGAGAGAGGGGGGGTAGATATAACTTCTGAAAAATTCTGTTTACGTAATACTTGAACGCTGTCTAATCGAATTTATAAAGTTATTAAGTTTCCGTTCCTTCTTTCTCTCAAGATACTAACATAATAAAATTAGGGGTAAAAATACTTTATTATGACAATCAGTACCTAACGTTTCTTATTTATCGTATAACTTTTCTTTAGGATATTAACTTATACCATAAAGTCGAACGTAGGTGTTGGTTACCATAATAAACTGGTTTTATCCCCTATATTGACTCTGATTTTTATTATATATGTATTCATTGGACCTTAGACGAATATACTGCTCTAGGATTTCCAACTCCTTTAAGAATAGTCACGTTAAATTCTCTAGGAATGTCGTTAAGTCCTGGAATTTTATACATTCCCGGACCAGTAGTATAAACTTCTCCAGTTGGAGAATAAACCATTTCTTCCAACGTATGAAAACCGACACCTTGAACGAAAGCCCCTTCTATCTGACCAACATCTATAGCTGGGTTTAAGCTTTTTCCTGCACAAAATGTTGTTAATTTTCTTATTTTGCCAGTTGCTTATGTATATATTACCTATATCCATTACAATGTCAGCACGCAAAATTTGATGATCGCCAGTAAGACAATCTACTATTACTTCAGTGCAACAAACACCATTTGTAAAGTAGTTGAAAGCTCTACCGCTGTTTTCTTTCAAATTGTAACCAACATCAGGTACTTTGTAATAGCCAGTTGCAGAAAGACTGACCCGGTCAAAAAACGCGGCGGTAACCCAATCATTCCAAGTTCCATTTGGATTTTTTTCTTTAAACGGTTCCAAACGATTTTTAATCTTTTCACAAGCGTCCTAAACATGCATACATAAGAAATAACCAGTAATTTTTGAAAGAGCACAGTAATGAGTAGGTAATGGACGGGAAAGCAATTTCTTCAAACTATCCCGTCCATCTTCTACGTATTTAGTGCATTCAAAGTCAAATCGGTTCCTAACTTTTTCAGTTTTCATGATGGATTACATAGGTGACACTATGAATATTTCTCATTTATATTAGGAGTCAAAATAGTTTAGTAATATTGTCAGATATGTAATCATTTCTTCTAGGTAAGTTCTTTTTAATTAATAGACACTCCTTTTGACATATTATTTTGGAAAAAATCACTTTTTTTGATTAGTTATGTCTGTTACCGTTTGAAACACAAATTAATATGAAAACAATTAAAACAATTGCCTGTCAGAGTCAGAGCTACCAACCCGGTCGTCACTGAGGATTTTCCAACGAGCAGCGAAACATCTGACACAGCAAATCTGCATCAAACACAACAAAACGGCTCGGAAAATAACTGTTTTTTTTAACAATATCACGTAAGTTTTAATAAATAGAATAGATACCTATATAAATAGAAAGTGCCCAACGTAATGAAAATTGAAGATAAGAGAAAAAATGAAACTCAATACTACACTCATAAAAATTATGGCAAGAATCATTGGACTTATAAATACAAATGATCGTATCATACAGTAAAACACTGAGAGGGTTGAAAAATTTAGGAATCGATTTTACATGTAATGCCCCATCCATTACCAATACAGCAAGACCGTTGTAATCAGAGGTGACGCTAGCAGCTGTGGGCATTGTGTTGGGTACTTTGTCGGTCGAAGTTTCACTAATGAAAACGTTTGATATTGGTACTTCTAGTACCCTACTTGCGATCTGTATCATTTTCGTGTGTATGCCCTGTCCTGCCTCCATCCCTCCATGTGTTAAAAGGACGGAGCCGTCTGTATAAACATTTACCAATGCTGCTCCACAATTCATAAAAGCGTCTGTATATCCAATACCGTAAAGCAGAGGAACAACTGTGATACCACGTTTTTTCCACCTATTTTTCCTGCACATTTTATCACTTTGAAGTAGCTAATGTTAATGAAGGAAATAACATTGTTTACCTATTATATTCATCGATTTCTTTTTTCCTGTCAAAATAGCTCGACTTCGACAGACACTCATCAAAACATTTCTGCAACGTGCAAGAGTCTGTTTCGCTTCCATAACATGTAAGATCGTCTTCTTTGAAAAAGTTTTTCTGCATTATTTCTGTAACGTCTTTGTTGAGCGCGTCAGCTACTTCTCGAACGGCACATTCGGTAGCCAATGTCAACTGGGGGCTTCCGAACCCTCTGTATGCGATACATGTTTGCAAATTAGTTTTGCAACAAATTCCAGTGAATTTGACATTCTCGGTGTTATAAGCACTAAAGAATTGTAACAGTGCTCTTTCCAATACCTTTAAAGTATATTATAAATTTGCTTACTTGCAAGTACTTAAGTAAGTAAGTGACAAATTAATTAATACTGACAATAACATATTCATATTAATACAATAAAATTGGAAGTAGACAACTAAAAGTTTTTAGCCCTTTCGTTAAAATTTCTAAAGTCGAACTTCCTTTTTTTATTTTTATTGAAACACCTATTACATTTTTGTATCAATTTGACAATTGAGGAATAAAAGTTCACCTACCATGACGCTTAAGTCTGTAGATCGTCCAGCATTGACATAAACATTTAATTCTATGGCCGACATAAATCCACTTTCATCGAAAGCTACTTTGTATTTCATTAAAAATGGATTTCTGGTTCCTTTATACAAGATATCTTCGTCCCTGTCTAAACTGCATCTAACAGGTCGTTTAAGTTTTTGAGCTGCAAATGCTGCAGGAAGTGCAAGAGCCGTCGGTCTTGTCTCCTTTCCACCAAACGCTCCACCTACCCTTTTCACTTTGACTACGATACGATTTTGTGGAATCTCCAAAACGGTCGACAAAGCTCTCTTTAATGATGAAGGTTTTTATCAAAATAAATTGGGTAAACAAGTCATAGTTGACCTAGTTTTATATTCTTCTAAACTTACCGCAACACTTGTGGGATCTTGTGTTGTACAATAGACTTCAATTTCGTTATTTTCATTTTTTGGAAGAACATTAACAGCTGCTGGTTCCAAATAGAAATGTTCTTGTGCGCCACTTCTAACTTCTCCCTCAACAACATATTTGCTGATCTTAAAAGCTGCATCAACGTTTCCTCTTCCCATTTCTCGATACGAATCTGGTAGGTAAGATTCATATTTTATGGCATCTTCTATAGAAACTATAACGGGGTGAAGGTTTTCATAATCAACCTTTACCATCTTCGCTGCCCTTTGTGCAAGTAATTTATCGTCGGCAATTACAACCCCCAAAATCTGCCCTGGACTTTCGCAAGTTTCAGAAACAAATACTTCTTCATCATGAACAATAAATCCAAATATGTTACGTTCTTTTGGAATATCCTTTGCACAGTAAAATGCTTGTACCCCTTCCATTTCTAAAGCAGGTTTTGGGTCTATGGATTTTATCTTTGCATGTGCTTTAGTACTCCAAACGATGCCCATATACAACTGATTACTAAAATGAGGCAAATCGTCGCAGTAAACAGCTTCGCCTGTTGCTTGCTGAAAAGCAGTGAAATGTACCACAGGAGTACCGATGGTATCGTACTGGGATATTTTAGACGTCTCACGATAGTATTGCGAAGATTTTATGACAGTGGTATCAAAATCTTTAATTGCACTCAAATCGGTTTCATATATTGCATGGAAGTTAGAGTTATCCTGTTTGAGTTGAGACAGTATTTTTAAGAAAGCTTTAAAGAAAAGACTTAACGACAAGGATTGTCTGTAGAGCATCATTCCTCCTGGTGCCGATGGGGTTAGGGGTAAATCAGTTAAAAGTAAGTCTAAAGCTAAATCTAATATTTCCTCATTCCACGTTTTACCATTAAGAAATTCACTTGTGGTTTTGGCATACGTAGTTGTAGCAGCCATTCCACCTAAACAAATACGAATATCTTGAACTGTATTAGTTATAGGTGATATATGAGTATTGAGAGCTAAATTTACGATTGTTCTATCATCTTCTCGTCTACGGGATTGTTTGAAAGCACAGAAGAATTGATTTTCTTCAGTGTATGGTATCACTAAAGAAATTAACACTTCACTTCCGTTCAGTACATTTTCGCGATATGCTGTAAAAAAGTTCTCATCCAATTGGATTGTTCTGGAACCACCGGCTTGACTTCTAATTTCTAATTCAACTTTGGCCGCCATAAATATATGATTTAAATCAGAAGTCGGGCTTCCAGTCATTATGTTGCCACCAACTGATGCCATGTTGCGAATTTGTTTTCCACCAAACAACTTTAGCATATCAAGGATTGCTTCGAAAATACGCAATTTAGTTTCCGGTTGAGATTCTGTTTGTATTCGTAGAAAACTTTCTAGGTTTTGCAATGTGACGGAAGCTCCTACTTTTACCCCTTTATCCGTTAATTGGATTTCGGTCATTTCAGGAATGCAGCTGGGACTGATATGTATTGGGTAAAGTTGGTTTTTAAATTTTACTTCTACACGAACTTCTGTGTTTCCGACAATTATTTTGCTTTCGGGAAAACGTTGTTTTAGTTCCAAAAGGGATTCTAACGATATGGGTCTGAACCATGTAACACGAGGACCTCTAAACTCCAAACTTTGATCGTCAAAACCGTTAGAAATTTTTAATTCTGGAGGAAATATGGGCTCCTGCGTATGATCGTACGGTTTGCAGTCACTTACTTGAAACAATGCATATGTTTTATCTTCTTTTTCTTCGTTGTTCCTATTTTTACAACATTGTTTTCCCATGGGGCACCCGTTGAAATTCGTGTTACCTAAACCGTTCGTAATTTTTTCGCAGTCCGGATGTTCCACGAATGTTTTAAATCCTTCCATTATGGGTCTGTATCCTGTACAGCGACATAGGTTCCCTTGAAAGGCTGTTTTCAAGTCATCCATTGTCGGCTTGGGTTGATTCCTTAAGAGCGTATACATTGACATAACAAATCCTGGAGTGCAATATCCACATTGAGAACCATGAGCTTTCGCTATTCTTTCTTGGACGGAGTGAATTTTGGTCGTTGTAGAACCTATACCTTCGACGGTTGTAACCGCCAAACCATGCATTGCACATACTGGGGCTAAACATGCGTTTACTGGGATATGTCTGATGGGTTCAATAGGAAACAAATGTCGCTTTTAAAACTAATTGCATAAATGCTTTGGAGGTTTGAATAAAGTAATTGTAAGTAATATTGTTGCAGTTCATTTTACATATGAATTATTTATCAGTTGATAATTAATAGAAAGGAATTAAGTGATAATTTATGATGTGCCAATTAATATGGCTAAGTATAAACAAGTTTAAATATTTTATAAATAATTAATTATATAAATTGGGTTAATATTGATGTTTCAATACTGTTTTGTTTTGTGATTACACTTCTTGAATATTTCAGCATGAAATACAAACAACGACTAATTGTAGGGAAAGCCTAAAATCATTCACGACTTGTACATGCCAAAATAGGTACTGGTTTTCAAAGGATACACTATTTGATCCTTCTTTCTAAGATATTTAGATACCATAACAGTACATGCCCCACAACCACCTTCCCCGCATCCCATTTTAGTACCACAGAGACGTACTAAAGTAACATTAAGGAAAATGTACAAATCAGAGTTAATTTTCTGGCCTAACCAATTTTTAACAAATAATAAGATTTTAATTATGAAATGATGCATCATCTTCAAAATAACGTATAATACAATTATGTTGATTTATTTCATTCTTTGAATAATTTGTTCATTCTCTTAAGTTATCAAAAGTCGTTAAAAATAAAAAATTAAGGAAGTAATATTTCTTGTGATTAAACCTTTTTGTCTATAAATATATGCTATATCAGAATTGTTTTCAGTCTGTTGTTGTTTTTTAGTCCTTAAAGGATACATTTATCTCTAAGATAATAGAGTAGTGTCCATTCCGGATCAACATTTCGTTCTACGATCTGCAAAGTATTAGATAATCCATATGTATTTTACTAGTTTTAATAATGCATAATTTTAATAATTTCGAATAATTAATTAAAAATTTATTAAATAATTTTTGTACAGCGTTGTATTATTATTTACATATTTAAAAAATTTTCCACAAAAATAGCTCACCA